GGAATTCAGCAGCATCTAGTATGGGCTCTACCCAGCAGAAGAAGTCACATGCCTCATTGCTTCCCTGGGTGTCCAGCTTCCTATCTGTAACAGAGAGCTCATGGTTGTCTTTCATTTTTGTGGACATTATTTCTGCGATCTGCCCAGAATCCCTTCTTCCCACTGGAATTTCCTTTTTTTGGAATGGCTTTTCTTGTAGCAGATGAATTAGAAATCCTTCTCTGGTCTCTTAAATACAATTTTGAACTGTTATTGCTGTTGTTAGGAGCCATCGAGTCAAATACGACTCATAGCAATCCTGGAACAACAGATCTGAACCTTGACCTAGCCTGCTCCCGTGCTCACCACCTTCTCTGACGTGCTCGAGCTCACTGTTACAGTCAGTGTCAGCACGTTGAAGGTCTTCCTCTTGTTCTCTGACCTTTCATCTTTCCCATCACCATGTCTTTTTCCATGGACTGGCATCCACCTGGTAATACACCCTAAGTGTGTGAGACAAAGTGTCACTGCCCTTGCCTTCAATAAGAACTCTGGTGCTCCTGTCTTGAAGTGTTGTTGTTTACTGTTGAGGGACTGACCCCCGGGTGGGTTTTCAGAGGCAGTTAATTGCATGGGAGGAGATTGCCCATCCATCTCCCATGGGGCAGCTGGTGGATTTGAACCATGTGCCTTCAGAATTGCAGATTGACCGCGTGTCCTTCCTCATGGCAGTGTAGTTTGTAGAAGGGAAGGCATTAAAGAGAGCTGCAGAGAGACAAAGAGCAAGAGATGAGTCCTTGTAGTGTTTGGGCCCCTGGTTCCAGCTGGACCCAGAACCCTCCCCGCAGTTTGGAGATTTACTCCTCGTTTACATTCTAAAAGCAGTCTCACTGACTGGCATTGGCTTTCTAAAGATACCCTTCTTTATGGGGATGTGTGTAGGCTCTAATGAGCTAAAGTGTGTGAGGCACGCAGCCCAAGGCCCGGCCCATTGCAGGCTCGGTAGGCACAAATGCCTTTCCCTTAATGGGCACTCGGCAGAGATGGGGAGTTGGCAAGAAACCAGGAAGACGTGAGGCATCAGTATTCATGCAGCGATGTAACTGAGCAGCTCCTGGGAGACCAGAGTCAGGTGCCTTGGGACCCTGAGTAGCCCACAGGGGACCAGAATGAATGCCCAAGTAGAACATTTAGTAGATAGGAGAGGATGAGATTGAAAAACAAACAAAATCCTCTCTCATGTCCCATCCTTTTGTGGAACAAGAATCTATCAACAGGCATCCCCTCACACCAGGGCTATATGTGGAGTCACTGGAGGTTTAGAGGAAGGCTTTCGAGAGAAATAAATTGGATTTTGAATATCTCGAAGAGTTTTCCAGACAGGGAAAGTGCTAGGAAAGGGAAATTGGACTAGAGTCATTGTTATGTGTCACTTGTGATTCATAGTGACACTATGTACAATAACTCTATCTTGAAACCTGCTCTATCTTGAGCCAACTTCATTGTCTCTGACACACCTACCTCCACTACCCCAGTCAGTCACTGAGTCAATCCCTCTCATCCAGGGTCCTGGACTATCACTAGCAGTCTGCGTCTCCCCTCTTTTTTAAAATTTTGCATACAATGAGAGGTCACAGGGAACTCATTTTCCCATATGTTCATTTGTATATTGTGTTCCATGATATTGGGTGCACTTCCCACAGTAGGCCAGTGCTCTCCCATTTTCTGCACTGGGTTCTCCATTTTCATTTCCTGTTTTTTCCAACTCCTTCCTGACTTGGTTTTTGCTTTCAGCCAAATACTGTGCTTTTAAAAATATTTTATTAAAACTATTTTTTCTCCCTTCAAATGATGTCCTTTCGATCTTTCCAGTTGTTTGGAGGAACATGCACCTCTCAGCTGCAATGGGCCCGTTGTTTGGCTGAACAGTGGCTTCAGTTCCGGGCCAGAAGTGTGTCTTAGGGCCCTGGTCTCGGGGTTCCTCAAGTCTCTGTCAGCCTGGTAAACAAGCCTGACCTTTTAAAATGTGAATTTGTTGTTGTATCCTACACATCTCTATCACTCTGCCTGGGACCCTCTGTTATGGTTCTCGTGCCCTCTGCAATGGTAGCCGGGCACCATCTAGTTCTTCCCGTCTTGGGGTCTATAGGCTGTGGTTTGGACTGATCATGTCCTTAAACCTTTGGTTTTCTCCACTCTCCTTTGCTATCAATCTTAATCATTATCATTAACCTATCTAGGCTTTCATTCTCTTCTCTGTAAAATGAACATTTTACATAGAAAAAATTCTCATAAAACACTTAAAACATTGTGCCACGAGAAGCCTGTCTGTGGTTGAATACTCAGTAAACGTTTAGCTCATCACGAAATGTTTTTTTAAAAAACTGTTATCAAGCTCTATCTCTTTAAGATGATCATAACTGTTATCATTATCAAGTCTTTAATGTCTCAATTGAACATGATTTCTAGCCTTTGTCTTATGGAATCCTCCCACAAACCCATCAGCCAGTACCAGTTGGTTGAGTTGATTATTTTCGTGGTGACCCCATGAGTGCGGAGTTGTGCTCTGGAGGGTTTTCCACAGCTGATATTTTGGAAGAAGCTTGCCAGACCTTTCTTCTGAAGGGCCTCTGGATGGACTTTTACTTCCAACCTTCTGTTAGCATAAGGCATTAATTGTTTGCACCACTCAATGGCCCTCTACCAAGTAAGTGAGTGTTGTCACTCAGTTAAATATATAAATATAGGCTCTGAGTGCAGAAGCAATCTGTCCAAGATTATCCTTAAGCAATGCGGAACAGATGGAGCAGGGGTTCAAATCTAACTAGAAGAAGGACACTTGCCCTAGGACACAGCCAAGAGCAGGGTTTCTTTAGAGATATATTCCAAGATAGTAAACTGGTGTGGAGGAGGAGACAGTTGAGGTTTGTCTCATTCTTTTTATAACAACACATTCAGTAGCAACATTAGAGAATGAGGCAGCAGAGACACTGGTAGACGTTTTAAGGCACCTGCTACGTGTTCCCCAGAAGCCCACCCACAACCAGGTCCGGATCAGGCTAAAGAAAGGTCAATGGTCAGTGCTGGGTGGAGCTGGAGCCTGTAGACCCTGACTCGCCCACATCCCCACCCATCCCCATAGTTTCCGTTTAAGTTCCTTTTAGAAAATTCCAGCTTGACCAGGCCAAGACGGGGGTTTTTCCAGTGGGGCGGGAGTGGTGAGGGGGGTGAGTGGACAGCCTCCACTGTCCCTTTTCAGAGCTCCCCCTCCAGTCTTTGTCCCTAGGGCCCGAATGGCTCTGGCTTCTTGGGGACGGGTGGGCCCCTGACTGGGGGAGCTGGGCTCAGGACGTTCTGGCAAACAGGAAATGAGACAAAGGCAGCCGCTTATCAAGGCAACATGAATTCCTTTGAGGAGCTGTCCAGGGGACAAGGCAGGCCCAGAGGGGGCCCCTGTGACCCTATGCAGAGGACCTCCCCAGTGCCTGCCCTCAGGACCTCTGGTACCTCAGCCTTTCCTCATCAGCTGGAGGTAGGAGAGTGAGTCCCTCCTTAGTTCAAGATCCCCGTCTCAGGCACTGGCCTCAGATTCTCCCTCCTCCCCCTTCTGACTACTATTTGTGCCTGAGGAAATGGGACAGGCAGGAGGGGAGAGAATGGCCAGATTCACCTAGTCATTCCATAAACATAATGCTATCTATACAAGCATCCAATGTGGGTCTTGTTGTTGTTAGGTGCTGTCAAATAGAATATGACTCATAGTGACCCTGTGAACAACAGACCTGAACCCTGTCCTATCTTGATACACTTACTGCATCCATCTCAGTAGGGGAGTCTTCCTGTGTGGATCCTAGGACTCACTAATGAACTAGCCCAAGGAACTCCCTGTGTAATAGCAGAAGGAAGAAGGCACAAGAGAGCGGAAAGAACAAGGTGAGCTGGGCAGTGAATGGCTAACCCAAGCTGGGCGGGGCTGGGTGCTCCAGCTCCCTTGCACATCAGCAGGTACTGTCTGAATGCAGGAATTCTGGACTTGGCTAGAGGGGTGGGTGTGATGGAGAGCTGTTTGACCAGAGGAAACAGCATCTGCAAACATGCTTGGCGGCTCTTTTGGGGAGCAGACATGTGGAAGCAGCAGGGCTTTGAAGTCATCTGAACAAAAGGTGAAGAAGCTGGTAAAGAGGCTGGCTGGGCAGGTCATAATGGCCTTAGAAGCCAAGCTAAGGCCTGGGCTTATTTTGTTGGTATTGGAGTTTGGTAGAAGGGTGGGAAGAGGGTCTGGCCAGGGGTAGGGCAATGAGAGGGGCCCTCCGCTGGCTGGCTCGCAGAGGCTGATCTATGGAGACAGAGGCTGCCGTTCTGTGTGGGGCACTGGCGCCAGTTCTGCTGGGTGGTGGGTGCCCCTCGCCCCAGTGTCGCTGACTCAGCGTCTAGAAGTTGGTTCCCACAGCCTACTAGTCTCTGGAGGTCAAAGGCCATGCCATCTAGTCCTGCTTCCAAGTGGGTCAGTGCCCAGGGCCCTGACAATTAGGCCTGAACAGGGTGCAGAGATTTCAAGTTCACCCACCCCGTCAACTCCCCAGGCGCCTCAGTAGTCCTTTCTGTTGTCTAACTGCATCCCAGGGTCCCTAACTCAGGCCTGGCTTTCCTTTCCCAGAGACTCCAAGGCGCTGCAGTTATCAATACTTTGCTTTTATTTTAAAACAGTGAAAAGGAAAAAAAAAATAAATATCTTTTGGGAATAAAAGCAATGGGGTGGAGACTCCAGCGTGTCCTGGCTGCAGTAGTCCTGGGTGGGGGCGCGTGAGACCTGGGCTCGCCAGGCCCCTCTCCGTCCCCTCTGGGAGGTCTAGGGGCTCCACCAGCCTCGCCTGCCCGCGCTCCCAGGCGGGGCGCCGTGTCAGTAGAACTTGTGCACCAGGATTAGGCCACGGGCACTCGGTAGTGCCCCCACCGCAAGCTCTTCAGTCCGCTGCCCCTCCGCTAGGACCCCAGGCCGGCCTGGCATGGTGCCCACGGCCTCAGTGATGGTTCATGTCCTCCATGCCCACACGCCCCCAGACGCCCAGCACGAAACTCTCAATATCACACTCGTTGGAACCACGCACGATGCGGAAGTGGCCCCTCTCGCCCCAGGCTGGGCCCCACGAGTTCGCTGCCGTCTGGAGATGAGAAAAGAATGCAAAGAGAATGGCAAGAGGACTGGGGAAGAGGAAGCAGGAGAGAGAAATGAGGGAGGAGCCGGACGGGGAGGACAGGACTCACCCAGTATTTGAGTGTCCTTCCATCAGGCAGTGTCTCCTCTCCCCACCTGCACAGGGAGAACGAGCTGACACCTTGCTCTCAGGGACCCGGCCTTCCCACTCAGGCCCCTGCTACCCATGGCAATTTGATTGAGACCCTATGAGGCAGACAATGCTTTCCCTCCATCTCCACATCTGTAATGGGTACATCAGTGCACCCCTGGGAAGGCCACTGGAGGGGCTCAGCAGAGAGGAAGGGACCCAGGCCTGGGTCCTCCAGAAACGCACACACTGGGAGCTAGTTCTCTGAGACCCCACATATTTGCCTGACCACCTCCACTCTGTCCCCTGTTCTCTCCTGGGGAACTCAGAGAGGGATGGGTGCCATGGATGGAAAGGGGTGATGGAAAGGAGGTGGAAAGTGAGTGACTTAGACGCCAAACTCCCACAGCAAAGAGCTTTTTATTGGTTGGACAGTTGAAATCAATTAGTCTGACGTCTTCTGTTATGTCAGATGGGAAAATTGTACAGGTCATTCATTCAGAACCAGGCAGACTTCGGGACAAATGCTAAGATGGGGAAAGGCCAAGATTCCCCCAAATCTTTGTCAGTATTTCATGGGGTTTATTTTTATTTCAGTGTGCAAAGAAGAGCATCCCTGGTGGCACAGGGATTAAGCACTTGGCTACTAACCAAAAGGTTGGTGGTTTGAACCCACCGGCTGCTCCACAGGAGCCTGGAAACCCTATAGGACAATTTTAGTTCTATTCTGTACTATTCTCTACTGTAGGGTCACCAAATGAAGCCTCAATAAAACACAACTCATCGTCGCTAAGTTGGAACTGACGCCTAGAGATGCTCCAGCAGGTTCCTGGGTCAGTAAATCACTACCTGCTGGTGGGTTAGACCCAGGGCACCTTCGCGTGGACCAGGCCACCAGAGCTCCTTGCACGGTAGCTCTGAGTTGAAACTGCCTCAATGATATTGTGTTCTGGGGTATGAAGAGACAGTTCCTAGAAAACCCTGAAAAGCCCTCTACTCCAGCTGTGGCCCAAAGCGTGTCCCCCCCCCTTCCTTCTGAACCACAATTTCCTCCTCCTGCTACCTCCAGAACCCCTCCCCCCCAAGCCTCTCACCCTGTGATCTTGACCGAGTGGGTCCCGTGTCTGCGGTATCGCTCAGGGCGAGCACTGCTCACTGGCGTGTGGCTGTAGATGCCGCCCTGGTACAGGAAGAAGTCCTCATGCACCTCCATGAGTGCTGTGAACGCAGGCCGAAGTCAGAGCCCAGCCTGCCCACCAACGCAGGGGCCAAAGACCGGTCAAGGGACGCATGTTCATCTGTAAGGCTTCTTGGTACTAAAGTTCCAACTACCCCCTCCCAATGCTACACCTGAGGAGAGGCCATGCCCCTCCCCCATTCCTGATCCCCACTGGACTTGCTATCAGCACTGTATAGACCACGGTGCCTGATAGGCCCCATCTCAAGCAGGCAGAGCTTCTGGAGTCAGGCGATGGAGGAGGGTAGTTACCTTGGACTGGGCCATTCTCTATCAGCTCCTTCATGATCTCCTCCTCCTGGGGAGAGAAAAGATTCTTCAGGGACCCATAACCGACCCCATCACTCTCTTCCTTAGGGCCCTCACCCAAGTGCAGACTTACACTGGAGCCCAGGCGGTAGACAGGAGTGACCTGGTAGATGTCATTGCGATGGGCGTGGCCATTGGGGCAGCGGGAAGTGGCCTGGCGCTTGCCCCGACCCATAGCCCGGCTGTGCATCATGCAGCGGGGCGCGGGGTCTGCGTTGTTCCTGTCATGGCCTGAGAATGGGTAGCAGTGGTCAGATACAACCCTGGAGGGGCAGCAGGAGGGAGCAAGAGCAGAGTGAGCACGGCTCGGCCTGGGCACAGCATCCCGAGGACCCCCAGCCTCCAGCCTTCTGCTCCCGCCTGCTCACCCTCGACGTCGGAGGAACCACCAGGCGCCATCCAGACGCCCTCCTTGGCAGCCCTGCTGATTGTGGGTATCACAAGACAGCAGGTTCTGGGGTGACAGGATGGGCGTCATGTGTCCCAGAGAATGGATTGAGACTCGATCTGATGCCACAGCTGGTTGCGGGGGAAGACAGAGGTGCTGTCAGGTCAGGGGGCTCAGGTCCCACCCCTCCCCGCCCACGTCGCCAGCCCTGCTCCAGGCGCACCTGCGGTGGAGAAGGCCCAGGAACCCGCACAGTTGCCCTGGTCCAGTGGCTCATGGATGAGGTTGGGCCACTTCTTGGAGGCCTCGAAGGCTGTGGGCAGTACCTCCCCTGGCCCCAGCACTGTCTGCAAAGCGAAGGTGACTCCATGTGCCTTCTGCTTTTGCCCTAGCCTGTCCCTCACGGGCCCTTGGTGTTGGGGGACCACCAAGAACTGAGGGGCTGCCTTGGTTTGCTCGAGTCCTGCTGCTGCTGAGGAGCTGGTTCTCCTTTTAAGTCAGACTTAGGGCAAGAACTGACTAGCACCGGTGCCAGGTGGAGGCTGGCTAATCCCGTTAGGGATGGAGCCAAGAGGAGGGACGGAGCTAGGCCAGAGTCACCTAGCTTTCCCATTGTCAGCCCCTGCCTCTTTCCTTCCCTGTCCCTTCAGATCTGTCACATCCTCCTTCCCACTAGGACCTTGGGCTTCAGGCCGAGGCCCCAAAGGGCAAGGGAGGGAAGAAGCAGAAGGGTCCCGTGACTAGGCAGACTGCCAACGAAAACAGCAGGAGGCAGAAAATAGCAAGAGGTCCAGGGGAGTAAAGGCAGGGCGGGATCTGTCACCCCCATCTTGGGCTGAGATCCCTTTGCAAGACTGCCACTCATGCCATCCTCACCTCCTCACTGCCTGACTGAAAGACAAGACCTCCCAACATGTGTCCCAGGCCCATCCTGCTGAAGCCCCCTTCCCCACCCTTTGGCTGTTCAGAATTTGTTCCATCTCTCTCTCCAGAGTGTTCCAGAAGCCCCCTTGCTCCCTTGGGGTCCTCCTGAGTCAGCATTTGTTCACAAGAATTGCTGCTGGGGGAGTAGCTGTCGCTCCCTTCCTAAAATATCAAAATGACCTCCTGTCCTCTTGGGCCCTGACCCAGGCATTCTGGGAGCGACAACATTTTTCCCAGGCTAGGGAAGCCAGGGAGGGACTGGTGCTGGAGCCGCAAAACGGAGTCCAAACACCAATTCCTCCAGTGCAGCACAGCTTAACCATATGCAGGAAAGAATGGCCAAAGAAGGGGCATGTCTTGCTCAGCGACACCCTCTCTGTTGGTAGGGGACAGGTTGAGGGCGCGGGTCCCTGAGATCCTAGGCCATGGGAAGATGGCAGGTTTGTGGGCAAAGGTGGACTCACGTGAATCTCGTTCATGTTCATGACAGAGGAAGACGGGCGGACAGTGCCCAGGCGGTAGAGAATGCCCTCATTCAGGGTCATGCCCCAGAAGGCACTGTGGTTCCCAGCGCGCCACCTGGAGGACAGAGGATGGAAGAGGTTACAGACCTGGCAGGGCTGGGGGTCTTGAGGGGCATGGCTGTGTGGGTGAGAGAGATGCATGCTGGCTAAGTCTAGCCAAAGCACCTTCAACTCAACACCGATTCTTTACAACATCATGTGTGCCAGCTAGTAACCCAAAAGGTTTTAATGGTGATGACCTTTCAGAAGCAGATGGCCAGACCTTTATTCTTTTACACCCCTGGGTGGATTTGAACCACTAACTTTTGGATTATTAGCTGATATGTGCCCAGGAATGCATCTTGGGGGGGGGGGAGAGAGAGAGAATATGAATGTGTGCTTATGTGTGGTGTGCATATGGTGTTGTTACTATGTACCATCAAATTGTAAACTGACCCTCCAGTGGGTTTTCAGAGGCAGTAAATTGCACAAGAGATTGCCTTTATTTCTACCACAGAACAACAGGTGGGCTCAAACCATGTGCCTTCAGGTTGGCAGAACAGCTCCTTAACACTAAGCCACCAGAGTTCCCTGGTGTACATGTATGCACACCCATATGTATGTGTCCCGCGCTCTCACCCATAGTTGCCATTGTTGATGGCATTGATCATGTCTTGGTCCACTAGGCATGGTTCCTGGTCACACTCCCACTGTTCTTCTTTCTGGCAGGTACTGGTGAGAGACAGAGGGAAGGAAGGGGTTAACAAGGCCTGAGGACCTTCTGAAGGGAAGAGAGCTCAGAGGTCAACATGGGCCTATGATTCTGGATCGGGGTTTATGGGAGAATCCCTTGATGATTCCATCCAGCCTTGTGGCTTTCAATGTCAACTGCACTCTGATCATTCTGGAGTTTCCATCTACTGCCTGGACCTCTGTCTAAACTCTGGATCCAAGGATCTTGTCACTCCTATAGCTACTGGGTATTTAACAACAGGTCAGACAACACGTCCCAAACTGGATGCGTCCTCTCCTCCTTCCCGACCCTGGTTCTCCCACAGCCCTAGAACTTTGCAACTCCATCCCTCCCAGTTTCAGGCAGAAACCTGGAGATCAGCCTAGATGCTTCCCTTCTCTCGTGAAAATTCAGTTCATCTGCAAATTCCATTGACTCTGCCTTAGGAACACATCTAGAATGTGAGCCCCCTCTCAAATCCTCCTGCAGCCATGGTCCAACCACCTCTCACCCGGATTACTGCTGGAGCCTCCTCATGCTTCTGTGATGGTCCCCACCCACTTCAGAATATTTTTAACACAGGGTGACCCTGTTGAACCTAAGTCATATCACCTCATTCTTCTGCCTACAATGTTCACTAACTTTGCATTGCAGAGTCAGAGCCAAAGTCATTCCCATGATAGACTGGCCTAGTGTAATCTCTACTTTCCCTCCTCATCTCAGGTTCCAGCAGCTCTAAGCACACACACACACCTGTTGTGTTACTGCCCCAGGGCCTTTGATAGTCTCTTTCTTCCATGTCTGGATGGCTCATTCAAAGGGCACCTTTCTGAAAGGCCTGCTCTAGACACCTTATCTTAAACTTTGATCTCCCCCACACTTCCTATCTCCCTTCTCTGTTTTTCTTTCTTTTGTATCACTTTCTCATAGACTCTTAAGTTTCTTAAGGGCATGCATTTTTTGTTTGTTTGTTTGTTTAGAGAAAGAGGAAGACCTTCAATAAGATGGATTGATATAGTGACTGTAATAATGGCCTTGAGCAAATAAGAGATTATGAGTGCAAGATGGAATAAGGTTCAGACCTGTTGTTCACAGGGCCTCTATAACCTATAGTGGACTCAGTGGCACCTGACAACAGCAGAAAACAAAACCCAACACTATCCCCCCCCCAAATAATAAACCAATCAAACAAAACCAAACATATCAACCAAAATCATAATCATTAAATTGATTCCAACTCATAGGATTCTATAGGACCGAACAGAACTGCCTCTCTCAGAGTTTCCAAGGCTACAAATCTACAGGGAAGTGGACTGCCAAGTCTTTCTCCTGTAGAGTGGCTGGTGGGTCCAAGCCAGTAACTTTCTGTTAGCTGTTGAGTGTTAACCATTGTACCATCATGGTTCCCAATCAGAACCTAGCACACAGTACATACATACATATATATTTAGAGAGAGTTTGTTAACAATCTCAGCTTCTTCAGCTTCACAATCAACCTATTGGCAATAGCAGTCAGGAAATCAAAAGACAAATTGCATTGGGGAAGTCTGCTGTCAGGATTCTCTCAAAAATGCTAAAATGCAATGATGTCAGTCTAGAGACTAAGGTGCACCTGATTCAGGTCATGGTCTTCGCTATGACTTGCTATGCATCAGAGAGCTTGACAATGACTAAGAATGATAGAAGAATCAATGCCTTTGCATTATGGTGCTGAAAAGAGTATTATTGAACATACCATGGACTGCCAAGAGAACAAATAGAGGAGAGGGTGAAACCAGACTACTCCTTGGAGGCAAGGATTTTGAAATTCCATCTCACATACTTTGGAGATGGATATCATGCTGGGAAAGTGGAGGGACAGAGGAAGAACCTGGGTGAGATGGCCTGACATAGTGACTCAGGTTATGGGGAGAGGTGTGTGTCAGAGCAAGAGAGAGAAAGTCTGTCGTTTCTTTCCTAGTGCTTCTGGGTGGGCTCAAACCTCTAACCTTTCACTTAGCAGCTGAGTGAGCAATTGAGTGATTTAACTGTTTATCCCACACAGAGGATCCTAGCATATAATCAAAACCCCAAACCATTGCCATCAAGTCAACTCTGATTCCTCATGACTTTGTAGGGTTTCCAAAGTGATTAGTTTCTATAAATGCAGACTAGTTAACTCTTCTCTCTCCTGAGGAGTCACTGGTGGGTTTGAACCACTGAATTTTTTGTTAGAAGCCAACCACTTTAGTCATTGTACCACAAGGTCCTTATTATAGAGTTAAAAAACACATAATAGGCATCCAGTAAATAAAAGAAGACTCCTCACAGGATGCCTTGGCATAGTGATGGCAACAACAGGCTTCAGCAGTGCAGAAATTGTAAGGATGACGTATGATTAGGCTGCATCGCATACTCTCATACACGGAGTTGCATTGAGTCAAAGCTAGCCCACGGGCACACAACAACAACAATACATGTTTGTTGAATGAAGGCCCGATTGAGGCAGCATAGTGACATGATGATAGAGACGGGTTGGGTCTTGGAATGAGAATCTTGGGTTTCACTCCTAGTTGGCAAGTTGTGTGAATGCTCTCTGCCTCAGTGTCCTTGCTAATAACATGAGGACAAGAATACCACAAAGAATTAACAAAGAATACCACAATGCTTAAAGGATTTGCCTGCCACCTGAAAGTTTGGCGGTCTGAACCTACCAGCTACTTCTCGGGAGAAATATGTGCCAACCTGCTTCTGTAAAAGACCGGGAAACCCTCTGGGCATCCTACTCCTACTCTGTTCTGTGGAGTTGCTATAACTCAGAACAGCCATGGGAATGAAGTGAGATGCGGCTTGCACAGCATGCGGCACCAGGCTGGCCCATCCTAAATCCCTGAGCATTATTATCTATTATTATTGTTCTAGTGACAAGAACCCTCAATCCCTCTTGCTCTTTTGAATTTAAGACTTACATCCAACTGGCCTCCTTAACAGCTCCTCAAGGAGTACAAAAAGCATCTCAAACTTAAAAATGGCCAAAGCCACCTTTCCCCAGGCTGCCTCTGCTTGTGTCCTCAACTGAGGAACCAGCACCCAATCCACCACGATTCCAAGAGGGGCCCCTGATGCTTGCCTTAGTCTCACGTAACAAGTCCATCAGCTCATCTTGTGGGCGACACATTAACAGACGTTCTCGCCTCTCCACTGCTGCCCCTGTCACCCCTCACCTGGACCACAGCCACGGGATCCCAACCCAGCCTCCTACTAACCTCTTCCAGACACTTTATAATCCATTTCTGAGCTATCCTGAAGCCAGAAAAATCTCTGAATATGTAAATCAGACCCTGTGTTCTCTCTGTGGCTTCCCATGACACTTGGGACAAAAAGAGAAAATTCTCCCCACAACTTTTGAGACCTGTGGGGTGTGGCTCAGGCCCTCCGTCAGGAGTTCTGGTCACACAGAGTTCAATCTCGTCTCCTGCCCACGCAGCTGTCCTCTCTGCACCACTGCTCTGGACTTCTCATCTCTCCACAGTTAGCACCTATGGCCCTTCTGCAGAGAAGTTTTTCTATGTCCAAATCCCTGTTGTCCTCTTCCCTTATAATTGTGCCCAAAGTCTTCAGGCCCATCTACCTCACAGTTACCCCGTCTGTTAGAGTAGAACCGCTCCATTGACTGTTCTTGGCTGTAATACCCGTTGCTGTTGTGTCAGTTCTAGCTCACGGTCACTACAAGTCGTGACTAGAGATTCATCTGTGGGTGTGGGTTCTTATTAGACTAGACGCTCCAGTAGTGCAGCCCAATCTGCATGCTCTATTTCTCCTGGATTAGCGCATAGTAGGCCTTCAATAAATAGCTGTTGGCTTAACAGTTGAATTCTAGGAATCCTATGATGCTTTTATGAGCTCATAACTCTGCTATTACAAATGCTAAACTGCCTCCTTCCAAGTCTGCCCGAGGCTCCCGCCTCTACTGTGTTGCCTTTTAAGGATCCTCGAGAGGAACCAAGCCCAGTATGGCTGGGTCTCCATCCCAGGAGCAGGCGGGGGCACTGGTCTCCCCTCCCCCATTGCACTCAGAAGCAGCTTCTCTCCCTAGGAGACCCTACACCCTCTAAGGTCCACAGACACCCCTCCATCCTGAGCTATCCTGGTGGGCTGGTCAGTTCTTTGCTGTCACCTCCTCCTTTGGTCCAGGGCTGCTAGAACAGGTCTAGACAGGGCTGATGGCAGCAGGTCCTAGCATTCCAGAGGGGCCCTCTGAAGCCAGGCCCGGGGAGTGCAGTGGGAGCGGGCCTTTAACCCATCGGTGTCCAGCGGTGTACTGTCAGGACCAGCAGAGTCACGCTGGCAGCCTCTGTCTTTCTGAACATGCACACACAGTTCACACACAACCACTCTGCACAAACACGCGCACATGCTCTCTCAGCCAGGCGTCCCCATTCTCACCGTGACCCAGGCACCCTCATCCCAGTGAGGCAATGGAAACAGCACATGCACATTCCATTCCAAAAAGTTTCCTTCTCCCTGGGGCCTCTCAGGGAGCAAGAGTGGGAGGGTCCAGGGTCTCCAGTATCTCTATGATGGCATTCAAGGCTCATTTCCTCACTTCCCACTTCTTGAGTCACTGGTGGGGGCAGTGAGGGTGCCCAAGGACCCTTCCTCCTTCTGCCTGTTCTGGCTGGCCTCAGACTGGAGGAAGGAGGGGGTCACATTCCAGGGAAGGCCCTGTGTGTAGGCTGGAGGGCAGCCAGCTCAGCCATCCCTGACCCTTGTCCAGCTCAGGGCAGTGGATGCTGCAGCTCGAGGTTTCCTTCCTGGCGCCCCCCCTCGTGGACTCTCCTGTGACAGCGGGAAGCACGGGGAGGGCCAGGGAATGACTCCTAGCTCAGGAGCAGCACTTGGGTGCCAAACACTCATGGCTGACCTCTCCTGGGGAATGCTGTCACACAAGTTGATGTGGCCACTGTTGGAATTCTCAAGTTACAGATTAAGAAACTGAGGCTTTGAAAAATGAAAGGACTTGTGGAGTGTCAAAAATGGAATTTAAACCAAGTTCTGCCTACCAGACAAGTCCCTTCCGCATCGCAAACACTCACCAGCGGTTACAGTTGTCCCAGTAGGTTCCCTGGATAGGGTACACACGACCCTCGTGCATGCATCCTGGTGGGGCAGATGAAAGACCAGAAGTGAGGTGCCAAGGCCTCAAAGGGTAGAAAAACCCCAACTCCTCTCTGCATTTTATCAGCCACCTCCCAAAGTCATCTATGTCACACAGATCCCCGGTCTACCCCAGTCAACCATCACTGAAACAAACACCAAACTAGAGTCTGAGCAACCTCTTCACACACCAACTGCTACTTGGGAAGTTCATCAGTGATTCTAACTTGGATCCCTCTTGCTTCACCTGTTTACTAGCCTCAATAATCTCTGCATTCTTTGCCACTGAAATGATGGTGGAGATGGGGAGACTGAGAGTCCTGGGAAAGTGGAGGCCCAGAAAGGGCAAGTGACTTCCCTAAAATAACACAGCACTTTGGGAAAATAACCAAGGTAAGACCCAGCCCAAAGACTATTGGAATTGCAAGAATGAATTCAAGTGATTCTCCTGCTGGGCAGAGACAAGTGCATGTAACTAATGGAGAAGGTTTGAGGGATTAGGGGATTTGACCTACCTCTCAGGGAGTGACCAACTCTCTCATGGGCAGAGTACCCTGAGCATAAGCAGAGGACTGGCTCAGATGACCCTGACTAACCTTGGTATTTTATCAGCCTGCTGGTGAGTCAGCAGGCGGGGCCAGCACCTCTATGTCCTGGTGACAAGACTGGGAGAAAGGGCAGGCAGGACTGGCCTGGGCCACAACCAAGGACTTTCTCCCAGTCTTCCTGGAGAGATTTCATTCGAGCACACGCAGAGTGTGGGCTAGGGTCCCTTTCAATGACTCTAAGCCTTTCCCAGGTATGTCTAGGTACCAGCCTGGTCCTGAACTTGTCTGAATCGCGGGCTGACAAAGCAACGCCCCCCCTTCTGGCAGTCTTGGTGCCTACCTTTGATGGGGGGGATAGGGGGCGGCACCCCCAAGCAGAAGTCCCAGAAGTCGGGGCAGCAGTCAGAGACAGTGCGGTTGCAGAAGAGGTCACAGTAACAGGTGGCGCCCAGGTAGGGCAGGGCGCACTCGTCAGCGCGGCCCCGACAGCACAAGTCGCGCTCCTCACAGTACCGCCCGCCCGCATCCCGGATGCCTCGCAGGTGCAGACCCGGCGCCAGCTCCCGGCGCCAACGACCCTGCCGGCTGCCCAGGGCCACCTCGCTGGCAGACAGCAGCAGCAGCCACAGTGGACATGGCCACATGGTGCCTTCTGGGCCTGGGGAAGGGCAGGTGTCAGGGGTGGCGGACACCCCAGGGCTCACTCCCAGCTTCCCGAGCCTGTGGGTCCGAGGGGGCTTGAGGAGCAAAGACGGGGACACAGGGTTGCCCACACTTCTCCCTGCTGATGTGCCCCTGGCAGGAGGAAGGGGTCACAGAGACAGGAATGGGGTCAGAAAGTGAAGCCCTTCCCCTCCCTGACCTTTCTAGAGAACTTTATGGCGGAAAAGATGGGGTGAGGGATTCTCAGGACTCCCCACCCAGCACCAACCCATCCATGAACCTAAGTTCACTCTTCCCTCCCTCCACCAGCATCCAGTCCTAATTGGGTCTGTGACTTTTCACCCCGAGTCTCGCCGCCTCTCCCTCCTGGTCTTTCCTGTCCTCTCTCTGGCCCCTTACGAGCCCGGTTAGGAGCCCCTGTCGTCCTGCCCTCTGTCTTGGCCCCTCTGCCCTCTGTCTTGGCCCCTCTGCATCTCTCTGTCCTTCTTTACACTTTTCCGTCTCTGAATAGGGGAGCGTCTCTACCTGGTGAGGGGTGTGGGCTGGGCTCCCGCTACCCACGTGCAGCCGCCGCCTCCTCCTCCTCCTCCTCCGCGTTGCAGGACCGAGCGACCGCGGCTCACAGTCAGTGAGGAGCGCGGGGCGGATCGCTTTTTGTACCGCCCCGCCCGCCGCCCGCCCCGTCGCCCGGCCTTTCCGCCTTGGGAAGGAGGAGCCGGCCCCCCTTTGCACCTGCATTAGCGCTGGCCCTGCCCCTGGGAGCTGGGACTAGTTAGAGAGGCGAGGAGCACCAAGCACCCGATTGCCCGCCACTGGGTCTCCCTCAGGAGGTGAAACTCCAACTGAAAGAAAAATGAGTGTGGTCAGACACAAGGAGGGACTTCCCAGTGGTTTGGTTTTTGATGGGTTTTTTTAACAGAAAAGCAGAGTAATGAATGGTAGAGGTGAATTTTGGACGTAAAGTTTTAAAATGCAGGCTGCAAAAATGTTGGCGATGGTGCAGGTAACCAAAAATCTTTAAGCTCCCTTCTGACCCCTCAAAAATATAACGTCACCCCCCCCCCTTCACAATGACCCCAGGCCTGGGACCATTCCTAACGACCTCAGTTCCCAAGAATGTCTGGAATTTGAAGAAGGAAGGTTTAGGATCTTGTGTGTGTGGCTTGAGGGCTGCTTCCTGGCCTGGCCCCATGTTTCAGGGCCTGTGACCCCCTCTCTGGGTTTGCTCTCCCGGTCCCTATGGGCACTCCACCAAGTACTCCTCTGCCTAATAACCCCGAGGGCATCCTGCTTGGCACCTGTCCTCCAAGGGCCCAGTGGAAGCACCCTGCCAGCTGGCACCCTCTTCAGAGCACCCCCATTCCCCGTCTGCAGGGCATAAACCCTTCCTTTGCCCAGGCCAGCCTGGGCCCCAAACAATGGGGCTTCTGTCCCGCCAAGCCCGCCATCACCTTTTACCTCCTCATTGTGAAATCCCCAAGTTGGGCCTGAGCCAGGAGACTTTTAATAGCAGAGAGGATGAGAGTGAAACTACACCTGGACAGACATTCCCTCCTGTCCTGTCCCCAAGCCCGAATCCATAAGCCGTGCCTGGAGGGAAAGCAGGAGGTAGTTCCTATGCCCGATCGCTGACCTCCTGCATCCCCTCCTCCCTGTGCCCAGCCTAGGGGGCATTCTCCGCTAGCCCTGAGGACAACAGGCATCTGTGGCTGGCTTACCCCCTGCCATGGGACACTGGATATGAGCCACCAAGGAAGTCCTGCCCTAGGGTGGGGGAGGGAGTGCAAGCTGAAGTCCTGGGATCCCCGCATTGGCACTGACACCCAGGGAGCAGTCCCATTTGTTTTCTGCAAAACCAGAAAGCTCTAGATAGGAAACTGAGGCCCAGAAGAGAAACATATCCAGGGCACAAGTTCCCTATCTACCACCACTCCACTCCCTTCCCAGTCACCCTTAGTCACTCACTACCGGTCTCAACAGGTTAGGAAGTCCCCTTTCCTATCTAATCACCATTCGTCTTGCTGCAAGGTGGTTTCTTCAGTATTGCTAAGGGCCGACATCCTCAGTGTGGGAAAAGGAGCCTGCTTTCAGAAGGACTTACGCCCAAGGTGCCCTCAGCTGTGGATCAGTATGGTTTGGGTCTAGGAACAGGGATTGAGAGCTGGCACAGCATCATCTGGCCTGTCCTTTGCTCAAAATTGTCCCCTATAAGGCTGGTTTAGGCATTTATGAATGTGAGTCTGTGAGATATATGTGTTTCTATGTACGTGTATGTGTATTTATCTGTGTACCCATGTCTGTGGAATGTTTCTGTGAGTGAGTGTGTGTGTGTGTGTGTGTGTGACGGTGTCTGTCTACCTGTTTCTATTTCAGTCTGCAGTAACAATGACGACGACCAAGAGAGAGCTACATTGGCCTAGTGGAAGGAAGCTGTGCTACCAAGCCGAAGGTGGGTGATTGTCATCTGTGGCCCTCGGCCAGGTTCTAGTTGTCTTCCTGTCAAACATTCTTCTAGGTGGTATAGCACTGGTCTGTGCGTTACTGTACAGAGGTAACTCGTGGTTGCTGTGATGCTGAAGCCTGTGACACTGATGTGCCAATCGTGGTAATGGGCACCCATGGTGGACAGTGGTGGCTGGAGCTTCCCGACTAAATCAAGCCTGGAAGCAGGAGCGGCATCCACTTCCAAAATGGCTTGCCTCTGGAAAATTTATGTACGAACAGTGCTCAGGCTGTTCGTTCATAGGGTCACTATGAGTCGTCTATGACTTGACGCCATTAAACAACAAACAACATGTGCCTATGTGCAGAAGAGAGGAAGGCCTTCAACCAGATGGGTTGACCTGGTGACTTTGGCAGTGAGTTGGGGAGTGTCAGAGATTGGCACAACATAGGACAAGACAGATCGGTTGTTTATAAGATAACTATGAAGTGAAAAAAAAAGATAACTATGAAGTGTACTCAACTTGACAGCCCCAACAGCAACAATAACAGTGTGCCTACCTATTTGTGTGTCTGTGTAGATGTTTGTCTCTGGGCTCCAGGTCTGTCTGCCAGTGTACTGGTTTTTGCCTGTACTTGTTCGCATGTCTATTGGCAAGTATGTCTGTGCATGTGTCTGTGTGGCTGTCCTTGTGTGTTCACCTGTTTCGGCCTATCTACTAGGTGTCTATATGTATGTGTAGATGTGTGTCCTTCTGGGTGTTTTACCTGTCGCCCCGTCCCTATGTGCCTGTGAATGCAGAGGAGGGAGGAACACAAGACAGGAGAACGGGAGAGTCGAGCCAAATGCCTTGGCTTGGAATCACTCCACCGGCGCTGAGCTGGCGTGGAACCAGTGGAATCTCGTGACTCAGAGAGTTCCTTGGACAAGGAGAGGAAAAGGGCAGGGCCGGGGAAGGGGGTTGGACACCTCACTTTCCTTTTCCATGACCCCTCCTTCCTGGTGACTCATTCTCTGTCACATTCTTGTACAGATTAGAGCTGTGTCCAACCAAGGGCCTGGGGTAGAAAATAGGTAAGAAGAACATCAGTAGAGAGGACTTACTCTCTGAGTCCTTCAGCTTTCCCAGAAGGTAGGTGACCTGGTCTCTTTGGTGGTTCTGTCTCATGACCCTGAGCAGCTGCTATTTTTCTCTAGACCTTGGTTTCCCCATTGAACCAGGTATTCTCTGGAGGTTCTTCTATCTCTGAGAGGCAAACCAGAGAGGGCTATTGACATTCCTAAATTCACACAGCCCCACTCCCTAAAAGTCTAGCAATCCCCCCCCCTTATAACTTTCACAGCTGCTTTAGGTCCTTAGAATGGGCTATTCTCCTCTGGAGACTAAGAAGGGCCTTCTGGGAAGAGAAAGACCCATTGTGCCTGACATGGGCCCACAGACTCTGCTTAACCCAGGTTCCTGGCTGAGCACCCACTCTTTGGAGCCAATTCTTGGATGCTTGGGTCCCAAAAAAGCATTCTAGTCAAAGCTGGGCTCCTTCGAGGCCTGCTGTGGTCATCTGGACACAGCCAGAGCTGGGGCAATGACACCCAGGATTTGGTCTGGGAGCTAGGCCAGGCTTAGTGCTGTAGCATGCTGGGCCATGTTCTGATATACTGTACTTCCTTGGAGCCTGTTGAGTTGTGTTGAAAAAAAGCATTGCGTGCAATGTGATAGAGGGAACGTTGCACGGTCATGGCGTGCTGGAGCTTGGGGCAGCTCTTGGAGCCACATGGAGTGCGCTGCACCCTGTCTTGACGTGCTATACTGTTTGATTTTCTCATACTTTTGAGATATATATGCTGACATTTACCATGTGCCAGGCTCTGTGCTGATGCCAAGTGTTCAGGGTTGTGCAAATAGATGCAGGCCCTGCTGTTGTGAAGTTTATAGTCTAATGGGAAGAGAGACACATAAATAAACAAATAGACATATCAATAACACATTACAAAATGTGAACTGTGAGGAGGATAAGAATCTGGCATTTGAGTTGGGACTAATAGGATGATCGGGGAGGTTTCAGAAGAGAGATGACATTTGAGCTGAGAATGGAGACATGGAGACAGCCATTTCCAAGAACTGGGAAAGGGTACTCCAGGAAGTTGACCAATGTGAGCAATGCCTTGAGGCCTGGCCCAGTGCAGCCTGTTTGAGGAACAAACCAGAGCATAGAGTGGTTTAGTGACCAAGATAGATATATGGTAAGAATCTGAGCTGCAATCCCAAAGGCACATGATTCGGATCCACCAGCTGCTTCATGGGTAAAGGATGGGCAATCTCCTCCCATGCTATTTACTGCCTCTAAAAACCCACTGGAGGGTCAACTATGGATTGATTCTGACTCCATGGTACACAACAACAATAAGAGAGAGAGCGAGAGCGAGAGCGAGAGCGAGAGCGAGAGAGAGAGAGAGAGAGAGAGAGAGAGAGAGAGAGAATAGGTCTTGGAGAAAATATAGTCAGATTGCTCCTTGGAGGCAAAGATGATAAAGCTTTGTCTCACATAC